CCATGGAAGTTACTGTGGACCAGCAACTGCTTGGTTACCCACATTCTTCAAAAATAACTTTTATGTTCAACAAACGAAATAAATTAATTCAGGTTTAAAACAAGTTGAGTAAATGATGGTATAAAAATGAAACTATTGAAAGACGGATGATCTTTTAATGTTAATAAAACAACAAAACACAGAAAAAAAATCACTCACTGCTCTTGACTGATGAACTTGTCATCAGTCAGTTGCTTAAAAAAAAAAGTATAATTGATGTAATTAGTGTATATGTGAAAAAAAAGTTAACGTACAGCCCTGCATCTGTGAAACATGGTGGTGCTGGTATCATAGTTTGGGCCTGTTTGCTGCATCTGGTCCAGGATGGCTTGCCATCATTGATGGAACAATGAATTCTGAATTATACCAGCAAATTCTGAATGCAGTTATTGCTGCAAAAGGGGGGTCACACCAGATACTGAAAGCAAAGATTCACATACTTTTGCCACTCACAAATATTTAACACCAGATCATTTTTCTCAATAAATAAATGACAAAGTATATATTTTTGTCTCCTTTGTTTGATTGTCTACTTTTCAGGATTTGTGTGAAAATCTAATTGTTTTGGGTCATATTTATGCAGAAATGTAGAAAATTCTAAAGGGTTCACAAACTTTCAAGCAGCACTGTGTGTGTATATTATATATATAGAGAGAGAGAGAGAGAAATGCTAACCAAACTTTTGGTGCAAAAACATATTGACAGAAGGCAACTAATAATTCGTGGGGGAAAAAAGAAAAATGTGGAATAATTAATCAGGTAATGTTAATTATGTAATAAAAGACAGAATTTATTTATGCAGATACTTACTTCGAATTACCTGACATTCTTTGAGCAGTTAGATAAACCTAGAAGGATGAGAAGATGGGAGCCACATTTGATCAGAAAGTTTGTCAGGTTTATCTGAGAATATGCTGTATGATTTCTTAATTTTATTTCAGGGAAGATCATATTACGAATCACAAAACTGTGGCTAACATCAAATCTGCAAGGGGCACGTTTGCAACAACTTTCATGCAAACAAATCTAACCATTGACAATTTCAATATTACATTTCAATTGTAAACCTTGAGTAGTTTATCACTCTCAACATATCTGTCTATAAAAGCCTATAAAAATCAGTCTTCATGTATTTCTCAACACTTCAGCATGTATCCTCATTAAGCAAGGGTCCATTTTTAGGATTCTTTACCTAACCCAGGGGTAGGCAAGTTCGGTCCTAGAGAGCCGCAGTCCTGCGGAGTTCAGCTCCAACCCTAATCACCTAAGTCCCCTGAGAACCTGACACCTTGTGCTTCTGGAGACTCCAGGTAGGTTGTAGTTTTGGAAAATGGTGGAACTGGAGACTAAATGGTTCCTGATTAGGGTGACCATACGTGCCATTTTCCCAGGACGCGTCCTGGCCAGGATTTCTATATTGCCTAAAATATCTAGGTTTTGCCTTTGTTTGCGTGTGCAGACCGATCGGCGTATGACATCAAAATACCATACAGACGGTTCCTTATGCTTTCAAAATGCTCTCGAGGTATTTTGATGTCATAAACCGATCGGTCTGCACACGCAAACAAAGCCAAAACCTAGATATTTTAGGCAATATAGAAATCCTGGCCAGGCCGCGTCCTGGGAAAATGGCACGTATGGTCACCCTAGGTTACGGCACCCAAACTCACTCTTTTCCAGATGGCATCGATAGATCACATTATTTACATGCTGAGTATTCAGTTTCCATGGTAACGCGGGCCACTTTTGCGCGCGCCTTCGCAGTCAGCTGTCTTAACCGCGGCTTGTGCTGTAAATCCTCACACTGCAAAAACTGAAATCTAAGAAAGTTAAAAAAAACTTATTTCTAGAAAATGTGTCTTGTTTTTTGCCATTAAAGATAAATAGTCTTATAAAATACATTGCACATTAGACTATAAGTCTTAATTTAAGAAAATGTATCTTCTTCGGTCTAGGCAAGTAAATGTTAACTGGTTTTGAGCAAGATTTTACTATAAATAAGTGATAGCTATAAAGCCCAAGTATTGGTGCATGTTCAATTAGATTGTTGTGCTAATTTTAAGACTGATACCACCCCTAAAAATTATAATTTCAAGAACCTTAAGAAAGGATTTTTTTTTTTTATGATTGTGTCTGTCAGTTTTTGAAAATAAATTTAAGAGAAATTGCTTGTGTGAACATAAAACACTTAACCGCTAAAAAGTGGTTTAATTATGATTTATTTCGTATCAAAATAGAAGAACAATTGCAAATGTTGTATCATCAACAGCTTATTCAACATTACAGAATTTTATGTAGCACCATCACATCCAACAGACCCTCTGCCAGGTTGGGAACCTCAATTTTATAAGACATGTAGTCTGTCGAAACAGACAGTACTGTACCTCTGACACTCAAAACAATACAAAGATGAATTTATGACATAAATGTTCCTCACGAGTCCAAATTCGGGCACGCTACTAGAATTTGCCATACACACAAGTAGTGTTTTTTCACAAATGTATTTGTTACCATTCAAAGTAATCCACTTAACGGACACTGCATGGATTATCTGATCAACTCCAAAGTAGTCCTTTACTTTTCCTTTTAAATACAGCATATTTTTTACTTCTGATACTGATCCTAACACACATTCACTAGTAAAAATGGGGTGGTTGGAACTGTTCACATTCTGACAGCATTCAAACATTTGATTATGCCTAATCAACGACTTGCAGACATTTTTAAAATTTACTTTTGAAACCCATTTAAAAAAAAAACAATGTTTGGATTCGAATCTCATGCACATGTGTTGGAGCATTGGTCCCAACAGTTTAATCTGGGATGGAACACAAGCTGTTCAGTAACTGAGCTTGATACTCCTGAACTGTTGCCACGTCATTCACTCCACTCTGAGGAAAAAAAAAAAAAAACAACTTAATTTGCAGGGAGATATTTTTTTGAAACCACCTGTCATAAAGACAAAAATAAATATTTTAGGAATCGTTAAAAAAATAAATAAATAAATAAAAACTGTCATTTCTTAGGCAAACAACAAGCTGAAACAACTAAAATATTCTTTACAAAATATTAAGTTTTTTGGTTATTATGTGTGAAAGAATATTTTGTATGACCGCCTTTCGCCTTGACAACAGCTTGCATCCTTGCTAGCATTGATTGTATGTACTTTTATGTAATTGGGCATCTGAATAAAAACAAATAAATAAAATAATACTGTAAAAAGTGCTTTACTATTTTTCTGCCTTTCTTGTAAACAAATAGTAAATTCAAAAGGTAATGGATAACAATTATATGTTAGCATTAGAAATACTACTGTGACTAAAGTGCTTACACATACTGGTGGATTAGCCATTACAGAAACATAAAAAATTATTTTGGTAATCACAAATACAGTTAGTTTAGGGCAGCTGTGGCACAAACCTTACATTAGGTGGTTGTCTAATAAATTCAAGCACTATGTGTGTGTGTGTTCATACATAAACAACATTAACAGAACATTTTGTAAGATTTGTATTTATTGATACCAACCTGTGAGAGATGATGTTTCTCTCTAGCAGTCATCACAACAGCAGTGGCATGTCTGGACAGCACATCATCACTTGATAATTCATCATTCTACACACGAAAAAAAAATCTTAACTCTATAATAATTGCATTATATAAAAGACTGTGAAATGATAGTAACAATATAACATCAAAGTTATTCATTTACCGTTGTTTGTTTGGGGAGGCTTGAAGAACGTGAGTCATCCGAAGGCCTGTTTGGAATGAGTACAGTGGGATTCGAATCTGAAGTTTCATTCAGCACATCCTGTATTTCCAGGTTCTGAGGCGATGGCAAGACGGAGTTACTGCTTAAGCCAGAAAACACTGTTTCGCCAGTGTCAAAATCACCAAAATGTTCCACAGGAACAAGAAGAGAGGGTTGTAGATCCACAGTGTTTCCCAATGTCGTTTCATTATCTGGACTGTTACTCGAGTTCCCTGCTTCCTGAGCCACTAGTGTTGGCCCACTATATGCCCACACATTGCTGCTGGATGTCTCGTGTACTGATCTCTCTCTCTGAAGTGATCTGCTCCTGCTCACGCCGTCTAGATATTGTGAGTGTGTTCGTCTGACGTGATACCAAAAAGAGTTGTAAACTCGGTACTCTTTAGTGCATCCATCTATTCCACAAACCAGGCGGAAACCTGGACTACGACTATGGGCAAAATTAATGTGACTCAATAAAGATTTAAGAGTAAGAGCCACAAATACATAACAAATGACGCAGCGCCAAATAATTTTTCTCTGGTGAAATTAAATTGAGATTTCGTACCTAAACAACAGAACTACTGAGTATAAAATCGATGACTAATGTCTCTTTTAACCGCAGTTTTCAAGTTAACGTTAAATTCGGCAAACCAAACACGTAAAAAAAACCACAGGAAATTAGAAAACGCGCGCTGAGCATGCGCACTGCACAACAGTGCTTTGACCCTGTGACGCATTAACGTCAAGACGCATGCGCAATCAGCGCGCCGAAGTGCAGTTAGAAGACGAAGGCACTTCCTCCCGCCAATTTTTCACCATGGATGGACTCGACGAAGTTGCGATTTCCACTCTAAAAGGTTAGTAATTTCTAAAATTACTTAATTGTTTGTTATGTTAATTCTTGTATTTGAAAATGAATTGTAATGGAATACACACTGTTTCCGACAGAAAAAACACGTTCCTGCAATCGAATCAAATTAAGTCAACTGAACATTTTACAAAGTTCAGCTTCTTTCTCTTGAGATCTGATTAATAAATCTTTTCCAGTTTGCTGTCTATGTCGTTAGTTGTACTAATAATTGCTAAATTTATTCGTATTTATTTACTTTTTAATATCCAAACGTGAGTTTTTTTTTTTTTGTGAGATCACCATGGGGCATTATCATTTATGACGTTGACGATAATACATTTGTATTCAGTGACATTAGTCAACTATTTCGAAACATTTTTTTACAGCACTTATCAATCCTTATGTTACAACATGCACTAATAATGTTTTTATTTAAATGTGTAACGTATACACTAAATTGATTATTGGATAATGAACAAAAATGAACAGCAGTACTGCCATCAGTTATTAAATGCATTAAAACTCTGTATTGCTTTTTCATAATACCTAATATTTTTACTGATGCTAACAAAAATAACTTTGTCAAGTGTTAAGGATCTTTTATCATTATTGCCTGTTTGTTTCACTACATTCAGACATTTATTTCATAGTTGTAGTAGGCCCAAAAACTTTACAATAAGGTTCATTAGTTAACTATTTTAGTTAACATGAACTAAGAATGAACAATACTTCTACAGTATTTATTAATCTTAATGTCAGTTTCAACATTTACTAATGCAGAAATCAAAAGTTGTGTTTGTTAACATTAGTTAATGCACTGTGAAATAACATGAACAAACAATGAACAGCTGTATTTGTATTAACTAACATGAACCGAGATTAATAAATACTGCAGTGTTTCTCAATTCCAGTCCTCATCACGTCAGTGTTCGTCAACAGTTGTGGGAGGGTCCTGTGCAAAGTTATGTCACTTTGCCAAGAATCTGGAAACGGCTTGCTCTGAGAAAGTGCTTATGATTTGTGGGGATTTAAAAAAGAGCACTGTGTGGATTTTTATCCTTATATGGTGGGTGTGTACACACACTGCCAACACACAATTAAGTTCAAACACCATGTAAAAGTGAATTATGCATCCAATGTCCCCTTTAACAAATATAACCCTATTTCTAAAGTGTTATCATTGTAATATTTCTGAAGTGAAAAAATATATACATTTGGATAAACTGTTTTAATTAGCTATATTGACATGGATATATATATTTTTCAATATCTGAAGTCTTCTGTGCACAAAGTATACCTGAGCTACACTGACTAATGTGTTTGCATGTGTTCTAAGCTGCTAACATTGGGGAAGACATTTTACCAACTCTCTCACGAGAGGATATCCGAGATCTCTTTCCTGGTCCTGAGCACTTCCTGCGGCGCAAAGCCATTTGGCTTTTGACTCATAAGGAAGAACAGGTAATTAACTTCAAATATTTATTTTGGATATTTTTAACCTGCTAGTGGGCATAATTTCAGTACAGATAATTTAAATGTAAGTTGGTGTGGTTGAAGAATAACATGTATACATACATGTGAAACACTATGTGAATAAAATGATAAATTACTTTATCTGATTTGATTAATGTATATATTTGTATTTTAGGGGCACACCATTCCTGTTGAAGTCCAAGGTTCATCAGCAGATGATGAACATACTGAAAGTTCAAAACAAGATGACCCCAGCACTTCAAAGTTTTTAAAGTTACCCAGCCCAGAATATGTTCTCTTCACTGACAGTGAACTACAACACGTGAGACGGACATACTTTGAGCAGCAGCGTCTTGGAAAAGAGGGTGACGTCACCTTATCGAAGGAGCTGTTCTGCCGGCTCATCCGAAATACCATGACAAACATGATATCAATTGCAAGAGCATCTTCAGAAGACTACAAATATCCCACTAAACATGAAGTTATTGCCATGGCAAAACGGTTAGTGGAATACTACCCTATGATGAAAGATAAGTCAACTGGATCTAGGCATGAGTGGGTGAGTGACATCATTTACTAAATTATAATAAAAAAAAAACTTGTTTTGCTGCTAACATTGCTTCAAAACTATTAATTGATGCTTTTTTTCTGTTGTACAGGACACTGTTGCCAAAAAGCTCCTGAAGCGACTTTCAAACATCCGAAGTCCTGTGAAGGCCAAACAGCCTCCTTCCAAAAGAGCACGTCAGGACAGAGAAACTTCTGCTGCAGTGGCAAGTGACTATGACGCTGATTCCAGTGCATCAACAGTCAATCTGTCACCACCTTCAAGATCAAGCACCCCAAGGCAAGAAAATGACAACATCGATGAAGCATGTAAGTACATGCTGCGCCAATCGCAAACAACCAACACCTGGTTATTTTAGGCAACTCATAAATCCTGTGCAGAACGTGTCCCCACGAAGTGACGCGTCTGGCCACCTTACTTTAAAATGTATTAGTGTTTTTAGACACTTTTTGCTTCCATCAGAATGAATTCATTCTGATTGACGAATCCAAATGTAGTATTTACATGAACGCTAAATTTAGTGATCGGGTTGATATGCGCGTTTATATCTCAAGCTTCTGATCGGATTTACTCTTTTGACATGCGCACACTGCATGAATATACAGAGTTTCCCGCTGTCGTCGCATACTGTTTTAAAAAGCACATGTGATATTTATCTACTTCGGGTCCTAATTTGGCAACGACAAGCACATGAACTGTTGTGCAGTGCTGCTTACTTTATAAAGCAGTAAAAGTGCCCCTTCCCGCAGCCAAAACCAGTCGTCTGTGGATGAGAGAGTCTTAAACAAGGACTGGTGGGACATTGTCCTGCTCCACTTCACAGACGCTGAGTGAAAGGGGAGTTTTATAATGACGGGACACTCATTTATGACACTTTATTCACCAGGAAGAATAGCTCGTTCTGCCTGTCATACGTCATTACGCTATTTCTTTCTGTTGACTACAGCAGAAGATATTTTGGAGAATGTTGGTAACTAAACTTGATTATAGCCATTGACCTTCACAGTATTTTTTTATTTTTTTTTCTTGCTTTGGAAGTCAATGGCTTCCATCAACTTTGGCTACCGACATTCTCGTCTTAAATCATCAAATATCATCTTCTGTACTCAACAGAACAAAGAAACTCATACAGGACTGAAAGAACATAAAGGAAAGCCAAACAAAGCTGCTGTAACCCATCTATTAAACCTGGAGTTCCAGTCCAGAAGAAATTTCATTGACTCGAATGCTTTGAAGGAGCAAGACAAACCAACAAAAAATTTGCAAGCATACCCCTGCTTCAAAGAACTAGACCATGTGGGTACACAGATATAGCATATTTTAGACAGATGTAAAATGTACTGACAAATATCCCATATCCTCTACCTAACTGCAGACAGAAATTATTTTATTTTTATTATTAAATTATTTCAGGCAATGGATGAACTGCGGAGAATCATTGAGCCAGACAATTGCAAATACATTTCTGAGGTGAAGGGCAGGTGGGAGACCTTCTACTCCAAGGTTCAGTTTTATGGAGTGATGAAGAAAGTCATGAAGCCTCAGCGGACATTAAATGGAGGTAAAGCTTTATTTAATTTTTTTAATCTGTATAGATCAAGGGTTCTCAATTCTGGCCCTCAAGGTCCAGTTCAGCTCCAAGTCTGGATCTAATCAAACACACCTGAACAAGCTAATCAGTGTTTTCAGGTCCTACTAGAAATCTACAGGCTGGTGAGTTTGATCAAGTTAGCCTTGGAATCTGTTTATCCTGATTTTATATTCTCCATTTGTTTAAAAGGCCAAACTTTGGAGAATCTTCTTTAATAAATGTTAAGCAAAGCTGAGTAAGTTCTTTTTTTCTTCATTTAAAGTAGGGGGAGGAAAGGGGATGTTTATTTTGAGAATTTATCTCATTTTAGGTTTTTGTGTGATCTTAAAAAAAAATCGAAATGAGCTGGATTTAAAGTTAAATATTCTAGTTTCAATACAATTTTCCATAAAATTATTATTATTCAGTGCTTATAAAACGAGAAAACTGCTAAGTTTTAAGCATGTTTGGCTAGTTTTAAGACCCAATAGTATTTTTTAGTGACTAGATTTAAGTTCAAATATTCTAGTTTTAATAACATTTTTCCTAGAATTATTATTATTCAGTGCTTATAAAAAGAGAAAACTGCTAAGTTTTAAGCATGTTTGTCTAGTTTTAAGACTCAACAGTATTTTTAGTGACTAGATTCAAGTTCAAATATTCTAAGCTATAAGCTTAAAAGTCTAGTTTTAAGAATTTGTGTCTAGTTTTAAGATCCAGTAGCATTTATTATTGACTAGATATTTATGCTGCTTTCAAGAATTCTTACCAAGTCGGTTTTGCTTACCCCATTGGCAGATTTTTTTGCTTGATTTTGGTACACTTTAACTAGATTTAAGTGTATTTTGCTTGTTTTAAGAAGGGCCTTTTTTGCAGTGCACTGTGTCTGTCACGCGACTCTGTTGCTCTTTCGGGCTTGAACTGATGGTAAAACTAACGACATTATTAACTGTCTTGATATTTACTTTGAAAAGTAAGATATTTTAAAGAATGTTGTTAACCCAACATATCTGGGTCAGCATTCACTTCCATTGTAGGCATAAAATACTATGGAAGTGAATGGTAACCCAGATCTTATTTTGATTTTTGCTGTGTGTGTAATCTAAATTCTGTATTTTTTTATATTTGGTTTTATAGCCCTCAGAGGATCCAGATACCTACATCCACAGGCGTGCATTTTCCACTCCTGTCTTGCTGGTTGGTGAGGAGAACTGCATGGTGGTTGTAGATACAACTCCAGTTCTAACATTTGACAGAGACTTGCTCCACGAGGGGCCTCTCTACCTCCTGGCCTATTACTATGCATTTCATCTCACGTATCCAAAGTGTCTTGCAACACTCTTGTCTGTGTTGCAAACACAAGTTCTGAGAGATGCCATCCACGAGCAGGATGCAACCCCCTCGTACAAAAAGGCCATTCAAGAATGGAGAATGTTTGTTGACTAATTACCATTTCAAACCTGTAAAAAAAGAGGCTGTGAGACAGCTTCAGTGTTTTTTTTTTGTTTTGTTTTTGTTTTTCCATTTGCACTTGATTTGTGCTGTTAGGAGTTTTTCCTAATTTTCAGTAGTGTTTCATGTCTCTGACATACAATAAGATCTTTAAAATAGCATCATATGACCCCTTTAATACTTCAGTTAACTAAGTGAAAGTGGAGCAGGTACTTGCTTAGCAAAATTTGTCTGTAGGCATGTGTGGTTGCAGGTGTCAACATGCGCCCATGAGTTATGTATAGCATTATTTTTCTTTCACCATGCAGTAAACTTAAAAAAAAATCCTGGGAAAAAAATTAAAAAATACTTTTTAAACCATTTAACTGATATTATTAATCGGTCAAAATTCTTACTTTCGTTTAATGGTTAAACAGTCAATATGAGCATTTCTAATTCCTGTGGAAGAGAACATTGTAGCTCCAGGACAGGCTACTATGAAGAGGGCCAAGGGCCCTATATATTCTTAATCCAGGCCTGTTTACAAGTACATGGTAATAGATTTTTTTGTTTTGAAATTTCCATTTCTATTTATATATATACAGTGGTGTGAAAAAGTGTTGGCCCCCTTCCTGATTTCTTATTTTTTTGCATGTTTGTCACATACCATTCTTTTTTTTTTTTTTATTCAAACTTTTCAGCTTGTAAACATTACAAAACAAATAAAGCCTAATGATATACCATCGATGAAACCACAAAGCTGGCGTGAAGGTATGTATAATTACAATATAAAGTCATTGTGAGTGTTATTGTTATTAATATTATTTTCTAAAATAAGGTACATGTAATATAAAAGTACATATATGACGAAGATGTTTCTGCAACAGCTCCAGCTCTCTGACGCGCGGTCTATACGTCAGTGTCCAAATTCGTACACTTAATTCCATTCACTACTATCTGATATAGTGCACTCAATTGCCATACACTATATAGGGATTAGTGAATGAGTGAACGAGTGAGTGATTTTGGACACAGCCTATATCTATAGGTAACAAAGATATTTGAACAAAAAAAAATTTTTTTAGAAGGGCCATTGATTAATTTTGCCTGGGGCCCCCACTTAATTTAGTTTCGCCTCTGTGAAAAAATTAAGTGCAAAAGTAAATCATAGACATTGCCATATTCAGTAACATGCTAAAACTATTCAGAGAGTTGTCATGATTGAAATATATATTAACCAACAATTGTCAACCTTATTTTGTTAAATGGCAGGTTATAAACCAATGTAAAATGTACATACATACCATTTTTCATGAAGCAAGTCCATATGAAAACAATTTTAGCTGATCTTTCATCATCATCTTCTTATAAGAGAAAATTATGGTTTTATTAAACACCGGTGCAATGAGCAAAACAGGGAGGGGTTGCGGTGATTTACACCAGTTTGGGTTAATTTAAAAAGAACATTTTTTAACACGGTGATTTAACAGTCACCAAGTTGTGGATAACACCAGCAGTGCTATTTTATTAACTTATAATGTTAAAATAACACCAACACTGTGTATTTTACACTGTCTTTGGCGATATAACTCTAATAATTCCCCTTCTAGGGAATTCGTGCTGTGTCCTCTAGCGGACACTATGGGGAATGCTGCCAGCATGACCGGTGTTTGAAGCACATGTGCAAAAACTCCAATCCTATTGGTTCATGTGGCCCGTGACGTCACAGGTGGGTGCCGGAAGTATAAAGGGGCACCTGCTGAATACTTGTGTCGTCTTCAGGAGCCGTCTGTCTGTTAGCAGTGTGTACTATGTCTCTGAAACCTGGCGAGCGTTGATGACTTGTGTGTTACGTGCCTGGAGGAGGAGCACGCATGTTTGGTGCTTGAGGGTTCCGAATGCACGCATTGTAAAAAATTCACTATGCAGAAGCTCCAATCACATTTGTCTGTCTTCTCAAGGGAAGAGGGGCAAGCATCTGCGCCTTGCGGGTCGGGTACGGTGAAAACTCAATTCGTGGAAATCGCAGGTCAAGCTCGCTGAAAGGTTAGAGAAAGGTTTGGATCTTTCAAAGACTCAGCCCGCGAGCTCGAGTGCGTCTCGTATCTAGACACTCTTTCATTAGAGTCATCTGATCCCGATAGCACGCTGCTGGGCTCTTCTAGTCAGAATGATGATGAAGAGATTGATGTGGTTGGTGACAACAATGAAAGTCCGAGCGCTGAGTTGTCATCAACCTCCCCCAAACTACACATACAGGGAAATTCTGGAAGTGATGGATCATGCTACTGAGCAGCTCGATCTTGTGTGGTTGCGTGAAAAGCCTAAGCCTGTTCGCGGCCGCCTGGATGAGCGTTTTTTGTCCAGTCTTGATTGTCCCGCCACCGGGAGTCTTCCGTTTCTCCCACATCTCCACTCGGAGATATCTAAATCCTGGGGGAAACCGTATTCATATCGGCTACATCTTTTTCAACACACTGATTATGCTAATGTTGAGGGTGTGGCTAAACAGCTGCCTTCAGGACGTTCATTCCTCAGTGCTCTAAATCCTCATTTAGCGGGGCAGATCTGTCTAGGGCTGAGGCTCATAGACAAGATCAGAAATCTAGCGTAGCTAACTGCGCCCCTCCTCCCTCTAGGAGTCGGCAGTGGAAGGCCAATGCTAACAGAGGGAAGAAGGATCTCAAGGACTTGCTAGATAAGAGACACGGTGATCGCCCATGTCCTGAGGCTGGCACTTCCTGATCATTCTCTTCCCCCTTCCTCTAGGAATTGTTATGGCAGGATGGGCTTACTTAATACAGCTATCTGAGGCTAGCTGTCTTAGCTCTTTCCTGAAAACATAGCTATCTGAGGGTAGCTATGTGCTTGCTCGGTGTTCACTCCCCTATTAGGGTTTCTAAGTAGTGGTCTCCTTGAGCCCTCCTAGTGTTTCCCCTCTTACGGTTGAAAGTAGACAGCCCACTCTCTGTGGTCTGAGCAGTTTCAGTCGGTCCCCCTTCTGGTAGCCCATTCCTGGGTACAGCTATGTGCTAGCTCAATGATTGCTCCCCTTCTTAGGGTTTTTAAGTAGCGGTCTCCTTGAGCCCTTGCTTAGTCAGTGCTATCTCCCTTGCTAGGGTTGTAAGCAGATAGCACACTTTCTGTGATTTAGGAAGTTTTGAAGGATGGCTATCTGAGGCTAGCTGTATATGGTTTATCTACGAGTCTTTCATGAGATCCTTAGGATATAGCTATCTGAGGATAGCTGTATTCTAGCTCAACAGCTACTTAAAGCCCAAGCTTGCTTACTTCATCATCATTCTGGTTCTCCATTTCCCAAGTTAAGTGAGCAGCCTAGGGCGTCAGTGGCTTGGCCCCTTTCTGAGGAAAGGTTAGGTGTATGTCTGTGACTTCTTTGGTCTCTCGCCAGGTGAACAGGTATGCGCCTTGGCACGGCATAGTTGGCATTTCGTTCATTTCCCCTATAAGGGGAACGTCTCGGGTTACGCATGTAACCATGGTTCCACGAAAGGGAATGAGACGCTGCGTCCCCTCACCATGCCTTCGGCCTGCCTGTTTACATCTCCTTCAGACAACTAGTTGGTGAAGTATTCAGCAGGTGCCCCTTTATACTTCTGGGCACCCACCTGTGATGTCACGGGCCATGTGGACCAATAAGATTGGAGTTTTTGCACATGTGCTTCAGACAACGGTCAAGCTGGCAGCATTCCCCATAGTATCCGCTAGAGCAGCGGTTCTCAATTCCAGTCCTCGCGTACCCCTGCTCTGCATGTTTTGCATGTCTCTCTGTGTTAACACACCTGATTCAGATCATCTCGTTAGAAGTGAGCTCCGTGCATGAACTGTGTTCCGATTGACATGGTCCCGACACAGTGTCCATTGCTCCCTACTCCCGGAGCAGGGGAAATCCGTTGAAGTTTACTTCACTTCGGAATATTCATTTACAGATTTGCGCTGCGCCGCTGCCTGCAGCGTCTTCACACACAAACGAAACTTACTAGAGAAGCGCGAAGTAGGATATAATATAACGTTATCTCTGTAAATAAATACAATTTAAATTCACGTCTCGCACACTTAAATGCCCTTTGTATGGAACTTATACGCTCCCTTCAAGAAGGAATCATGGAGGAATATCCAGTAATGTCCACTTCGCAGGGCACTTACAGTCAAATATAACAAACGTATGAAGCAATAAGAGAAACATACAAAATGTGCAGAGCGGGGGTACGCGAGGACTGGAATTGAGAACTGCTGCGCTAGAGGACACAGCGTCTCGTTCCCTCTTGGGGAACCATAGTTACACGCATAACCGAGACATTGTGCTCTGTACTGATTGAATTATTTCAGGTCCCCTTCTATCAGATCGAAATTTCATTTGAATCAAGCTCAATCAGACTGGTTGAGGTGTTTACATAACAGCTTTTCAGATTATTATTGGATTATTTGGGAAAACGTAGGTAGTGATGGCACACTTCTCTCCAGTTATTTCATGATTCTTAAGGTTTTTCCTGTCTGTGAAACTCATTCCATACTGACAACATCTAAAACACTTCTCTTAAAGTGAATCTTCACATGTTGATTAAGGGTTACTTTTCGTCCGAAACTCTTTCCACACTGATCACATGTGAACGGCTTCTCTCCAGTGTGAATGACCATGTGAGTCTTAAGAGATCCTTTTCGTGTAAAGCTCTTCCCACACAATTTGCACGTGTGAGGGTTTTCTCCAGTATGAATTCTCATGTGGGAATCAAAGGATGGTTTATGTCTGAAACACTTTCCACACTGAGAGCATGTGTAAGGCTTCTCTCCAGTGTGAATTCTCATGTGTTTTATGATGTTCCACTTTTTAGTGAAACATTTTCCACACTGTTTGCAGGTGTAAGGCTTCTCTCCAGAGTGAATTCTCATGTGGCTTATAAGGTTCGCTTTTTGACTGAAACACTTTCCACACTGTTGGCATATGTAGGGTTGCTCTCCAGTGTGAGTTCTCATGTGGTCTTTGAGGATTTTTTTCCCATTGAAACCCTTTCCACACTGTTGGCATGTGTAAGGTTTCTCTCCAGTGTGAATTCTCACGTGGTCGTTAAGGATTTTTTTCCCACTGAAACACTTTCCACACTGTTGGCATGCATAAGGTTTCTCTCCAGTGTGAATTCTCATGTGGCTTGTAAGGTTTCCTGTGTGACTGAAACTTTTTCCACAGTGAGGGCAGGTGAAAGGCTTCTCTCCAGTGTGAATTCTCATGTGGATTTTAAGGTTTCCTGTGAGACTGAAACTCTTTCCACACTGAGGGCAGGTGAAAGGCTTTTCTCCAGTGTGAACTCTCATGTGGTCATTAAGGTTTTTTTTCTCACTGAAACACTTTCCACACTGATGGCAGGTGTTAGATTTGGTCTTCTGGGCTCTTTTTCGTGAGGACATTTTTTCAGTCTTTACAGATTTTTTTCCAGTTATGAAATCATGAAGTTCCTCATTCTGATCCTTCTCTTCCATTTCATTCAGTTCTTGTCTCTCCTCTTTTGGTGGCATCGTGTCTACAGTGGAAAAAAAGAAATACATGTTAACCTTACATTGTAGAAGGTGACAGTAACATACTGTTTTCCATTAAAATTGTACTATATTGTACAAAAAACAATGCATTCTGGGAACTGTTTGCCATTTCCATGTACTGCAAATTACTTTGTTGAAAGGGAAACAGGTAAATTTAGCTAAAAGGGAATTACTAATTATATTTATAGTGAATTTTGACAGAAACAATGTTTTACGGCTGATCAAATTATTGGTAAGCGATTAATTGAACGGCCATAACTATCCGCTCTGCAACGGATATTATATCCAAAGTATAGTGAAAACACTATTTATTAGAACTGTAACAAGATCAGCAGTTTAAGACATTAACTTGTAAGCACAAAACACAATACTTCTCTTTTAATACATACAAGACTTTATTGGACATACAGTATCTAAAGACTTATGTCATGATGGTAGAGGAGTAGCAGGTATGTAGTAAGCTCGCAAGCGCACTGAAATAACGCAAAAAGCTTAAAGGCAAAAATAAAAATTTGTTTTTGTCATGAGTTTTTAAACTCAGCTGTTAGACACATTCTTACTGGTGTCCTGACCAATTAAGACATTGTTTTAGCTGGCGGGGTTACTATGTTTCTCCTCCCAATACGTAAATCTACATGTTATCTTAATAGTCACATGATCTGAATTTTCCCATTCTTGCAGAGTATAATTTAGACATGATTCTATAATTCTATAATTAAGTAGAAGATATTGGGTTTAATATTATACAACTTAATTCTTTTATTCAGACTACTTCTGTATAACTTTTCCTAATTTAACATGTCATAGTAACAAATGCCCAACTTCTAAGTAAAATCTTATCAGCTGCACTTGAAGGCAGCGTTGTAGTATTTTTCTGGTCATGTGATCTCATGTCATGTGACATGTCTGTTCACATGATGTGACTCACTCCATGAAAAATAAATTTTAATTAGGACACTAGTATATCATTCTTCAAAAATATAATTAATTCCTGTAGAGCTGGACAAGCTGGACATTTTAATAAGAATCAAATGAGTGAGTTCAGCTTTGAGAAGGAAAACCAACCTGTTTGTTCCTCAGTATCTTCATGTTTGACTCTGAATGTTTCTTCATTCCTCGTGTCTTCACTCTCCTCTTTAATAAGCGCCATCTCTGTTTGTTCCTCAGTATCTTCATGTTTGACTCTAAATGTTTCTTCAGTCCTCGTGTCTTCACTCTCCTCTTTAATGAACACCATCTCTATTTGTTCCTCAGAATCTTCATGTTTGACTCTGAATATTTCTTCATTCCTCGTGTCTTTACTCTCCTCTTTAATAAACCCAATCTCTGTTTGTGTCTCAGTATCTTCATGTTTGACTCTGAAAGCTTCTTCATTACTCATGTCTCCACTCTCCTCTTTAATAAGAGCCATCTCTGGTTGGTCCTCGGTATCTTCATGTTTAACTCTGAATGCTTCTTCAATCCTCATGTCTTCACTCTCCTCTTTAATAAACGCCATCTTAATAATAGTGTGTCACGTGGATCTCAGCTGCTTCAGAAGGAGTTGTTCTGTGTGTTTTGACACTTTGTCCTGTTTAAGATGAGAATAATTAACAGAAAGAAAAGTAAATCTAAACTAAATCTCTGGGTGCGTCTCAATCAGCTCCCTAGTTTAAGGGATAGTTCACCCAAAAATGAAAACTACCCCATGATTTACTCACCCTCAAGCCATCCTAGGTGTACAGTAGGTAGTCGAACAGAATGCCTATTACCGCCACGCTTGCGCAAATAAAAATCAGTCACATGTGAAACTCGTTCGCGAAATCACCACCAGGTGACGCAAAGGGATGAATGACACCATTTGCTCAATAAAATAGAAACGTGATGTTTTTACTTGTGAATGAAGATTAAAAAAATAAAATAAATGTCTAGTTTAATAATAATAATAATAATATAGCATTATAACATTAAATCCCGACTATATGCATAAAGGTTCAACATTTCATAAGCGGCTCTCCGCGCTGCTTCGCTAAAGATAGGTTCTTAGTCTATTTTTGATGGATGCCACATCCAAGCCGCATATCATTAGACAATTGAGGATGAATTTTAAATAATGAAAAAGCAGCTACAAATCTTTTATCCTTGTCAATCATAACTACACTTTTAAGGCCCGGTTTCACAGACGGGGTTTAGCTTAAGCCAGGACTAGGCCATAGTTCAATTAGGATTTTAAAGTAATTTTTATAAACATGCCTTAGAAAAAACATTACTGGTGTGCATCCTGAGACAAAACAAGGCCACTGACATATTTCAAGATTAATCAGTGCAAGTTTCTTTCAGTTGAAACCAGTGGCGGCTCGTGGGTTTTAAAATAGAGGAGGCACACTAATTGTATTGGTCTGGGATCCCTGCCGATTATTATTATTATTATTATTTGCTTAACCACTTTAAAATGGCTTTTTGGTTGCTTTTAGTCAGAAAACATAAAGAAAACGACATTGAAGCAGAGCTATGAACCGACTGCCCTAAACTCTTTTTTTCCGCTTTTTCCCTCACTGCAACCTGCTCGAAAATACAACTTTAATAACCATTGAATCTTTAATGCAGCAAGAAAGAAAACAAAAAGAGGGAGATCTTTTGATAAAATAATTTTATTATCATTTTGCAATTAGTGATAAAGACAAACACGTTGCAAAATTATAAATATTTATATTTTAAACCATGAAGGCGAACTGCATGAGCGTTATGCCCGTGATCGAAGAAGTTTTAAACTCCAGTCAATTCATTAAGCTACAGAAAGTGAAAGTAAAAACTGACCGAGCTGTTGGCGTCTGACGCTGCATTAATGGCACATATTCTCTCAGAGGAGAAGAGAGATATTGGGTATTGTCTTAATTTATTTTCTAAAAAAAATATATCTTATGGCTGATATACAGTGCTGCTTGAAAGTTTGTGAACCCTTTAGAGTTGTCTATATTTCTGCATAAATATAACCCAAAAAATCATCAGATTTTCATGCAAGTCCCGAAAGTTGACAAAAACAACCCAATCAAGCAAATGAGATGAAAATATGAAGAGTTCCAATGCAAAAGCCTCTAAAAGCCATCTTGGTCCAAAATTAGATAACGATATTGATTGAATGCTCTCTACACACAGTATATGTTCATCAAGTACTTTCACTTCAAATGCGCTAAATCCCAGCCCCAACCCATTCAGAAGTACCAGTACTTACAAAAAAACCTATACATAGTAGCCAGAAAGAAATTCTAATTTTAAAGAAAAACATCAGACGTACTTAGAGGCTTTTGCATCTGAACTCTTCATATATACTTTATTTATTTATTCAGGAAAATTATCCAATATTACATATCTGTGAGTGGCAAAAGTATGTGAATCTCTAGGATTAGCTGTTCATTTGAAGGTGAAATTAGAGTCCATCTGTTCAGAGGTGTTTTTAATCAGTGAGATGACTATCAGGTGTCAGTGTGCCCTGTTTTATTTAAAGAACAGGGATCTATCAAAGTTTGACCATGTTTGTTGTATCATGGCACAAACAATTGAGATTTCTGAGGACCTCAGAAAAAGAGTTGGTGTTGCTCATCAGAACAGGGATCTATCAAAGTTTGGTCATGTTTGTGGAAGTGTATTATGGCAGAAACATATGAGATCTCTGAGGACCTCAGAAAATAGTTGGTGTTGCTCATCAGGCTAGAAAAGATTTCAAAGCTATCTCTAAAGAGTTTGGACTCCACCAATCCACAGTCAGACAGATTGTGTACAAATGGAGGAAATTCAAGACCACTGTTACCCTCCCCAGGAGTGGTCCATCAACAAAGAACACTCTAAAAGCAAGACCTGTAAAAGTCCACTAGGTTTCAAAGGACTGCAGGCTAACTTCTAAGCAACTAAAGGCCTTTCTCACATTGGCTAATGTTAATGTTTATGAGCCCATCATCAGGAGAACACTGAACAACCATGGTGTCCAAGGAGAAAACCACTGCTCTCCAAAAAGAACATTGCTGTCCATCTGCAGTTTGCTAAAGATCATGTGGACAAGCCAGAGGAATACTGGA